AAAAATATAGTTCTGTAGTACAACTTCAAATCAGGCATGGTGGTACCTCTAGAAGTTATTTTATTCTTCAGGATTGTTTTAGATGTCTTGTTTTCATTTTTTATTTGTGTGTGTGTGTGTGTGTTTTCACATGACTTTAAGATTTGACCTTTTAATGCCTTAACAAGTGTGGATAAACATAAACCCAAAACTTGGAATTTTAACAAAAACATGTTAACATATCATAAACCAAAACATCCACAACATTTTTTTGTATCAATGACCTATCTATTGGCGAGAGTGGGTGTTAAAATCTACTACTATCAATATGTGAAGGTCTATATGTGATTTAAGCTACAATAGTATTTATTTTACAAAGTTGGGAGGCCTTCTTTATGAGTCATAGACTTTAAAAATTGGAATGATGTTTTTGTGGATTTGTACATTGATAAGTATGTAGTATCCTTCCCATCTCTAATGATTAGATTTGGTTTGGAGTCTAATTTGGTAGATATTAAAAATATGTACTATGTCAAAATATATGCACTGCTGTGTATAGTAGTATGGGCTTGTGTGAAATTATGTATATCCGGCATTTTTCAAGGGCATAGTTAACATCCATAGGTTGGAGTTTTCTATTATAAACATTCTGTAGAGCTGGTTGTGTAAATAGATATTATCTAATTTGACTTTTTCATTTAATGTCTTATTTTCTCAATCTACGGTGATTAAAAGTATTTTTATGTATATAATAGTCTGGCCTGGTATCTCTGTTTTCTTAGATTCTGTTGAACATCTGCCTAGGACTTTATGGCTTTTAATGTTTTCATTGAAAACCCAGATGTGATTCTAATAGGTCTGCATTTGTATGTCACTTGGCATTATTCCCTTGCATTTGTTAATATCCTTTTTTTATTTTGTATGCTTAATGTTTAGAATATTATGTACAGAGGGAACTTACTGTCATGGTCAAGTATAATTGATGTTCTGTATGGTTCTTGTCCTTTAGTAGGCATCTCCTTCTTTGGATTAGAAATTTTTTTCTTCTATAATATGGCTGAAAACATTTTCTGAGCCTTTGAGATGAGTAACTTCTCTTCCCTTTATCACTATTGTTCTTAGGTTTGGTCTTTTCAAAGTGTTCTGGATTTCGTAGATATTTCATACTAGTAATCTTACAGATTCAACATTTTACTTTACCAATAAATCTTTTTCTTCTTTTGTATCTTCAACCCCTGAGATTCTCTCTTGTTTTCTGTTTGTGAAGCTTGCCTCTGTATTTTCTATTTGAATTCCTAAATTTTTTATTTCCAGCATTTCAGTTGTTAAGGGTTTTATTGATTATATTTCTAATTTCTGACCTGAAACTGTTTTATTCATTTTATTAAAGTGTTTGTTTCTTCTACATGTTTTTGACAAATGTATGCAGATGATCCTTAAGGAACTTTATCATATTCATAAAACTGTTTGAATGTCTGTAATGTGTGCTTCAGCTATGATGGAATACTCATGGCCTGCTCTGATAGGATAGCTGGGCTCTAGCTGTTACATACTGCACTGGCTGTTATTGATTGTGTTTTTATACTGGCATATTGGCATCTTTATTTAGGGTGATTAAAAGACTTGGTGCTGATTTCTGGGCTTGTCTTTGTTGAAATTTTGTTCCTTGGTTTCTGTTTCATGTCTAGATTTTCAAAGTCTTGCCCATGTGCTGCCTGTTCTCCTGACCTGTTCTAATGTTATGTTCACAGGGTTTGGGAGGGTGTGTAATTTAGAACATTTGGGATAAGAATATTGGAGGAAAGGGGTTTGTTATTCTTGGGGATTAAGTCAAAGAGTAAATCATGTTTTCAGCTACAGACTTGGGGGTGAAACTGTGGAGACTGGATGTCAGGAGCAGGAGGAGAAGTTTGGATCTGCCTTCATCCTACTTGTTGATCTGGAAGGAGTAGCACTTGGGTTAGTAGGGGTGGTGCCTGCTAGAGTGGTGGTCTAAAACCAAGCAACTATTGAGGAGTGGGTGAAGATGGTTTGTGGACTCTACAGGAGTAGTGGCAGGGGAAGGGGGCTCTAGTTGGTACTATGTTGCAGCATTAGGAACATTATTTGGGTACAGGATCTGGGTAGACAGAGAAGATCTGCAGGCAGCTTACCTGGATTTCTGGCAGATAAACTTTTAGGTATAAATCCTTATTTATTTGTTAATTTTATCTTCATATATATATATATATATATATATATATATATATATATATATTCTTTTTCTTATTTTTTTTATTCTTCTGGACATGGACCTTAATGTTACTTCTCTTCACTCCTTCCATTTTCCTTTCCTATTTCCCCTCTGCCTCAGATCCACTAATCTTCCTTTTACTTCAGTAAAGACCTGGCCTTCCAGGAATAACAACAGAATGCTGCATAGCAAGTTACAATAAGCCTAGGCACAAACCCTCATACCAAGACTCGACAAGGCAACCCATTCAAAGCATCCCAAGAACAGGCAAAGGTGTCAGAGATATGGGGTACAGAGCTAAATAGGGAATTCTCAAGAGAGAAATATTGAAATTTTGAGAAACCCTTAAAAAATGTTCAACATCCTTAGTCATAAGAGAAATACAAGTCAAAACAACTCCGAGATTCCATCTTAAACCCATAAGAATGGCTACAATAAAAAAGAAAAGAGTTGGCACATGCTGTTGAGGATGTACAGAAAGGGAAACACTTCTCCCTTGCTGGTGGGAATGCAAAATTGTACAACTAATTTGGCAATCAGTCTGGCATTTTCTTAAAATATCGGAAATAGCTGTTCCTCAAGACGCAGCTATGCCACTGCTGGAAATATACCCAAACGATGCTCCTCCATACGACAAAAACATTTGCTCAACTATGTTCATAGTGGCTTTATTCATAACAGCCATAAACTGGACACAACCCAGATGTTCCTCAGTGGAAGAATAGATAAAGAAACTGTCCTACATTTACACAATGGAATACTATTCAGCTATTAAAAACAAGGAAATCATGAAATTGCAGGTAAATAGACGGAGCTAGAAAAGAAACCTTGGGCAAAGGCATCTCTGTGACAACCTGGAGACCTACCACAGGGACTCCTGGGAGGATATGAGAGTGACTCTTGCTAAAATGCCTAGTAACAGGGGTCTTGGAGTCTGAAGAGAATACCTTGTAACTAGCTAAGACTCCTAGTTGAGGGTGGGAAACATCAACACACCCACAAAAACTTCTACTCAAAATTGACCCTGCCTACAAGACGTGTACGACCAAAAAATAAAACATAGGTTGACAGAATGTCCAATCTATGACTGGCTCTACCTGAGACATACCCCATGGGATACAAGCAAACCCTGAAATTATTAACAAAATTCTTCTATGCTTGTAGCCTCTGAGTGGCTCCACCCAGCACCAGATGGAAAAAGGTGAAAAGACCCACAACAAAAGATTGGGTGGTATGCATGGGGTCTTGTGGAAGAGTGGGGTAAGGAAAGAAGAACCCAGAAGGGACAGGAACTCCACAAGAAGACCAACAGTGCCAACTAACCAGTGTTCACTGGGGCCTGTTGAGAATGAAGCACTAACCAAGGACTTTGAGTTGACTGAAACTTGGCCCCCTACAGAGATGTAGCCAAAGAGAGGTTCAGTTTACATATGAGTTCCCTTACTAGGGGAATGTGGGCTGACTCTGATATGGATTCTGTCGCTTGCTTTTTGACCAATTTCTCCTGGCAGGGGTACCTCTCTAGGCCACAGGAGAAGAGGATGTGTTCAGTCCATATGCAACTTGATATAATGGAGTTGGTGTGTAGAGAATCTCCTCTTTCTGAGGAGTAGGGGAGGGGAGATCAGAGAAACAGAGAGGTAGCATGGGGTGAGCAGGAGTAGAGGGAAGGGGCTATGGCTAGGATGTAAAATGAATAAATAAAAATAAATTAAAATTGAAAATAAAATTAAAAAAAAACATGGATGTGGAGGTCAAAGCCCTAAGAGAGAACCTACCATTGTTGATTTTCTGAATGGGCATGACATCAAACTGCTTTGCAATCCTTATGTTTATCTTCATAGATGGGAGCTATTATTAGCATTCATTTTAGAAGCTTATTTTGACTATAGAGAGTGGATAACACAGAGGCTCCCTATTGGTCAGAGTACTGAGACTAAATGACTGTGGGGAGCTCATTCCTAATGAGATGTCTCCTTCCCCACCAATCAGGGACTTCATGGAAGAAGAAATAGAGTGAATATAAGGATCAGAAGTGAAGTAGTGAAGACTGTTGTGAGACAGTGTCTTTTGGAATGACATGGTACTTGCACTCATCAACACAAATTGCCACTGTGGTTACTTGTACCAGACTTGAGCCATCATGATTTCCTCATGCAAGGAGAAGTGGACCTTCTGAGTCTCATCCTTAACTGAATGTCTCTGAGTTACCTCATGCAAGATGATGTTTTCTAGTTCCATGCATTTGCCTGCAAATTTCATGATTTCCTTCTTTTTAATTGCAGAGTAGTATTTCATTGTATAAATGTACCACATTTTCTGTATTCATTCCTTGTTTGATGGACATCTAGGTTATTTCCAGATTCTGGTTATTATGAACAAAGCTGCTATGATCATATTTGAGTAAATATCTTTGTTGTATGGTTGAGCATCTTTTAGATATTTGCTCAGGAGTGGAATAATTGGATCTTCAGGTATTCCTAATTTTATGAAGAAGCACCAGATTGGTTTAGAAAGCAGACATACAAATTTACATTTCCACCAGCAAAGGAGGGAGTTGCCATTTCTCCACATAAGCTCCAGTATGTGAGCATATGCATTTATATGCATTTTCATACAAAGGTTCTTCATACCAAAAGTTATAAGAGACATTGAACCCATAATTTGTACTGGGCTCTACAAACTTTTTCAACACTTTTTCAAGCACATGAGTTCTCAGGCAGAAGGGGAAAGTAGGCAGGGCATACTTGTGTGTGTTACAGACAGCTGGTGAAACTCTCAAGGACATTTATGTTGGAGGCTGAAGAACTATAGGAGGATAGTTGCGACCCTGTGAAAGTAATAAACTGACAATATTTTCAGGCTGCACAATGCTGATGCTGAGAGTGAAATCTGTCACAGATCCACTCCCTGTGAAGCGATCAGGGACCCCCGTGTTCTGAGTGGATGCATAGTAGATCAGCAGCTTAGGGGTTTGCCCTGGTTTCTGCTGGTACCAGGATAATAAGTTCTTTTGGTTGCCACTGTATAAAAGACTCTGACTGGACCTGCAGCTGATGGTGACCTTCTCTCCTGCTGAAACAGCCAGGGAGGATGGAGACTGGGTCAGCACGATGTCTGCACAGGAACCTGAAATTAGGAATACAAAATAAACATGCATATAGACACAAACACAGATTGTAAAACAGTTGAAATTAGTCATTTAATATCTTTGTACTATCATCTTGTCAGCGTATTATTACGTAAGAAATATTGAGACTGGCACACTCTAAGTTTCCTATCTACAAAGAAGTAATTCTGCAAAGATTATAATATTTTGAGTTTCTCACCAGACACCCAAAGCAGCAGGGATAAGAAGACCTGGGTCTGTGACTTCATCTTGCTCCCCCTGTTGTCTGATGCAGTTCAGTTCTCAATGTAAATTGCTGGTTTATAAATTCTCAGCAGGTGGGCTGGACTGTAGGTAGCCCATGCAAAGCAGTCAGCAAATACGAAAGGAAATGCCTGTGCAGTGTCTGTGAGTGTAGCTAGTATTAATCAACAGGCAAAAATACTATTACAGGGAGCATGAGAAATCGATGAAAAAGATTGCCTTACAGCTCTCAAATAGAAAAGTACTAGGTGCTCTCACAGCAGATCTGAGTTAAGAGCCAAGATATATTTAATTCAATTGACTTCTGTAGAAACATTAGTAGAGCTATCTGCGATTAACCGTCTTAGTGAAATGATAGAATATGTTCAAAAAAATCACAACAAAAGAGTTAGAATATATGTCATAAAAGAAAAAAGTAAATGAAAAATAAAAGATGAAAGGAAAAAAAGAGAATTGAGGCTAAAAGTGTTCAATACTACTCATCTCCAAAGCCACTCTTATACTGAAGACAGAGAACAGGACCTCAGATATTTGGGTTCTAGTTTCCTAGATACACAATGGACTAAGATGCAAAGAGCAGCTCATATATCACTCTGTGGATAAGGATTGAGCAATTTAGCAAGAGTCCTCCTTCTTGATTAGTTTCTTTAGATGTACAGATTTTAGTAGATTTACCCAATATTATATGTCTATATGAGTGAGTATAAACCATGTGCGTATTTCTGCTTCTGGGGTAGTTCACTCAGGATGACTGAACTTTTCCAGATTCCATTTACATGCAGATTTCATGATTTCCTTGTTTTTTATTCCTGAGTAATATTCCATGTATAGATGTACCACATTTTCTGTATCTATTTCTCCACTGAGGGGCCTCTGGGCTGTTTCCAGCTTCTGGCTATTACAAATAAGGCTGCTACAAACATAGTTGAGCAAATGTCCTTATTGTGTGCTTGAGCTTCTTTTGGGTATATACCTAGAAGTGGTATAGCTGGATCTTGAGAAAGTGCTATTCCTAGTTGTCTGAGGAAGTGCCATATTGCTTTCCAGAGTGGTTGTACAAGTTTACATTCCCACCATCAGTGGAGGAGGGTTCCCCTTTCTCCACAACCTCTCCAGCATGTGTTGTCACTTGAGTTTTTTATCTTAGCCATTCTGATCGGTGTAAGGTGAAATCTTAGGGTCATTTTGATTTGCATTTCCCTTATGACAAAGGACGTTGAACATTTCAGAGGATGGACATCCGAAGAAGGTGAAAAGTGGGAACAAGTCAGGAGCCTGACACAGAGGACCTCTAAAAGTCTCTGCCCCGCAGACTATCAATGCAGATGCTGAGACTTATGGCCAACTTTTGGGCAGAGTGTAGGGAATCTTATGAAAGAAGGGGGAAACAGTAATTTCTGGAGAGGACAGGAACTCTACAAGGAGAGCAACAGAACTGAAAAATCTGAGCACAGGGTTCTTTCCTGAGACTGATACTCCAATCAAGGACCATGCATTTAGATAAACTAAGACCCCTGCACAGATGTAGCCCATGGCAGTTCAGTATCCAATTGGCTTCCATTGGAATAGGAACAGGGACTGTCTCTGACATGAAATGATTGGCCTGCTTTTTAATTACCCTGGGAGGGATGCAGCATTACCAGGCCACAGAAGAAGACAATGCAGCCACTCCTGATGAGATCTAATTGACTAGGATCAGAAGGAAGGAAAAGAAGACCTCTATTATCAGTGGACTTGGGGAAGGGCATATATATAGAGGGTGGAGTAAGGGAGGGATTGGGATGGGAGGAGAGAGGGAACCACAAAAGAGGTACAAAGTGAATAAAGTGTAATTAATAAAGAATTAAAAAATAAGAAATCACTCTGTGGATATCCTGGCAGACATTAATTTAAGACTAAGATCAGAGGAACTTTAATCTCAAAGCAAAGTAAACCTATCAGAAACTAACAAGTATCCTCCCCACATCTTCAGGAAATTGAAAGAGGGTTCTAAATCTGGAGATACAAAAGAGGAAAAAAACAGAATTTCCATGAAGTCATTACTGTAGACTCACACTACCATGAATTTTTATTCAAGAAATTCAAATGCTTGTGTGATTTAGAAATTAGCGGTATTGAAACTGAATCAAGATGGGCTTCGGACATCATAAACAGGTATGTCTCCCCAGAAGGGATCACAGCCATCCTAATCTACTTAACAGTTTTATAAAGGCCAATAGAACAATACAGTAGCAATTGTTGCTATCCAAAGGGTGAAAAAGAAAAGTTTGGCTCTGAATGAAAAATCAATAGAGAAATCACAGAAGCTGCCAGGACTTCATCTTATTGTGCTCTGAAAGCATATATAAGAAGAAAATCATGAATCCAGAATTGTGTGTAGAGTATAAGAGAAAAATAAATAAATAAAATATCATGGGAAGAGTGGAGATTCACATCTGTACACCCAGAAATGGAAAGACAAAAGCAGGAGACTCATGAGTTTGAGGCCAGCCTGGCGTACATACCACCTTCTTGAAAAATCTAATGTATATATGAAGACAATGTCTCAAAAATGTGTATCATTAATCGCCTGGTTACAAGGCAGCTCATGGCATTATATACCCAAAGCAAATTATTTATCTGATGTTAATGTTTCACCATTAACCCTCAAATATTATTGAAAAATGAATATTCATTTATCCAATATGCATATCCTTCTATTTTGAATTACATATATAATTTTATATGTCTACTTTTCAAGTATAAAACATTAAATAATTTCTGATAAGCACATGCAGATCTCCTCTGTAAACCGCTAACAGAACATCATATTAGAGAGGTAGACTGTTTGCAGATACAGGAAGTTTCTAATCTCAAGGACAAAAATATGACAGACAAGGAGCTCTGCTCCTTTCAGTGTCTAAATGGTTGTCATATGCCTTTGATGTTTACTAAATCTTACACTTCTTGTGACAGCACCAGTGAGCTCAGACTGTTCTCATGGGGTTTACAGCTGCTCCTTCAAATTTGACAAATGGAGACAGGGATCATATAAATCCAAAGACTCCATGGACTTCTTGCAGTATGTAAGGGGAGAACATGGGGTCTAAAGAGATAAAAATTTCAAGTTATATTATTTATTACTTAAAAAGCCAACAGTCCTTAATTTCTAATGTAGTTTCCACAGTATGTCCTGGTGCATTAGATTATGTTTGCATTGATTAGACTGAAGGCTTTGTGATGTTACTTAATAGAGAGATGCAGTGTGTACAGCTTACCCTGGCCCACACAGGGAAATGGTAGCACCACGCTCTAAAAGGGTACACTCATAGCCAGATGCAATACAATACGATCAAACTGCAAGGGCCACAAACAGTGCCAGAGCCTGCTTCTCCTGCCAAGCTTCTTTCTGTGTTCCTTTCTCACTCCCTATCACTTTACATGGACTATACCCCTGCTGGAAGAATACAATACTGATTAATATGCTTTCACCCTTGTAATCAGGAAGTCTGAATATGATGCACTTCAGATCCTGGGACACAACACCCTCTTCCATGGACACCACTGTGGATGGATGACCAGGGAATATCAATATCATACACAATTATCCTGAGATTATACGAGGTTGAACTCAGCTTTTCTGTTCCACCACATAGAATCTTTTATTCTCTCTATGAGTGGCTATGTTTACCCAATATATGTGACAAGAAATAGTAGAGATAGTAAGATTTTCAATAACTCAGATAAAACACTGACATAGTATTTGTAGTTAAAATCAGCAGTATGGGACCAAATATTATTACAGGGAGCATGAGCAATCGCTGAAAAGATTGCCTTCCAGCTCTCAAACCAAAAAATACTAGGTGCTCTAAAAGCAGACCTGGGTTAAAATCCAAGACATATTTAAGTCAATTGACTTCTGTAGAAATATTAGTAGTGCTATCTCAGATGACAGCCTTAGGGAAATGAATGGATATGTTCAAAGACATCACAACAATAACAACAACATAATAAACACAGTAAGAAAGCATGCAATAAAATAAAGAAAGAGTACTGGGAAGAAAAGTTTAAGGAATAAAAGAGAATTGAACCTAAATATGTTCAATATTACTCATCTCCAAAGCCACTCTTATACTAAAGCCAGAGAGCAGGGTCTCAGACATTTGGGCAAAGCTTTCTTAGATAAACAAGGTACTGAAATGCAAAGAGCAGCCCAGAATTTACTCCATGGAAATCCTGGTGGACATTAATTTAAGACTGAGATCAGAGGAACTTTAATCTCAAAGCAAAGGAAACCCAGTGGAAATTCACAAGTATCTTCCCTTCAACTTCAGGAAATTGAAGAGGGGTCTAAATCTGGAGAAATGAAAGGAGAAACAACAACAACAACAACAACAAAAACCCAGATTTTTAATGAAATCATTGTTGTAAAACAACACTGCCATGAGTTTTTCTTCAGGAATACAAATCCTAGTGTAATTTACAAATTAGCATACTGAAATGGGATTAAGGTGGGCTTCTAACATCATGAACAAGTAAGGCTCTCCAAAAGGGGGCAAAGCTATCCTAATGTACTTAACAATTTTATAGAGACCCATAAACACTACCTCAGCAATTGTGGTATACAAAGGGTGAAAAAGAGAAATTTGGCTATATATTAAAAAAAAATCAATAATAATAAGAGAAATCACTAAAGCTACCAGGACTTTATTTTACTGAAATCTGAAAGTATACATAAGAAGTAAATTATAAATCCAGAATTATATGAAAAGTATGAGAAAAATAAATAAATCAAATACATGGCAAGGAGTGGAGATTCACATCTGTACTCCCAGAACTGGAGAGACAAAAGCAGGAGACTTTTATTCTCTGGATGGGTAGCTATGTCTACCCAATACATGTGAAAAGAAATAGTCTACACAGAAAGATTTTTTAAGAAAAATTAGCAAAAACTCTTCCTTTACTAAAAGATTCTGATTAACAATAATGAGTTTATTTAAGAGGTTTTCAACCTGCGGTCCCAATC